TAATTTAACAAGTTGAAACTATAGCGTACTAGTGACAATAAAGACAGGCTGCTGGACAAAGGGTTGACAAGACAACATGGAAAAGGCCTAAAGCTGAGAGGAATGAATCACACCCACTACAAATCCTGCAGAAAGGCTCTGCAATGCATCCGTCGGTTTGAATGACTCCACCACCCTCACACTGAGCATTAACTTTGATCTTTTAGTAGACACGAGGCTTTTCCAAGGTGGTATCAGCATTTATATTTATTGAGAGATCACGACTCACAGAACCCCCCACCACCTCCATTTGATCCCCGATAGGGCTAACGAGAAGGAGCTATGAAATCAAAGCCAGGGCTGTGTTTGCAGGAGCAACCCGAGAGGCAAACTTTACTCCCCTTGCTGGCCAGCATCCAGTCAAAGCTCAACAGGAGCCAAGCAAAGTAAACCACTTCCCCTGAGGTTGAGACGTCGCTAAATCATGGAGCAGATTTCCGTGCATCGCTCAGACTGGAGTGTCCCCTTAGGCTGCAGCTATCGATTTCACAAAGACGGCAAAACTTTGCATGAAGAAAGAATGATATGTTGTCTAAATGAACATTTATTGACCTTGGGACTTGTTGCACTGACAAGTTCATTTGGATTCCAGTTCAAACTCTACTCACGGATCTGTATTACACAACTACACTCACAACCAGAAATCTCAGGTCAGATACATACTGTATACAAGAACGCAAAAACATTATCAGTGTGGATTACTTACAAATTGTTGTCTGTTCCTGATTACAAGTTACACGAGGAAAAATTAAAGTCAGTAATGTATTTTAGATTACTGTATTCTGATTACTTTTGGATTACTTTTAGATTACTTATGACCTGTAACTTGTTTATAGATTTGAATGGGATTATACGGCATAGTTGTTCAAGTTTGCGCACTCACTGACTGAATTCTGTATCCGCATTCGCGATGAGCATTAACTTTGATCTTTTAGTAGACACGAGGCTTTTCCAAGGTGGTATCAGCATTTATATTTATTGAGAGATCACGACTCACAGAACCCCCCACCACCTCCATTTGATCCCCGATAGGGCTAACGAGAAGGAGCTATGAAATCAAAGCCAGGGCTGTGTTTGCAGGAGCAACCCGAGAGGCAAACTTTACTCCCCTTGCTGGCCAGCATCCAGTCAAAGCTCAACAGGAGCCAAGCAAAGTAAACCACTTCCCCTGAGGTTGAGACGTCGCTAAATCATGGAGCAGATTTCCGTGCATCGCTCAGACTGGAGTGTCCCCTTAGGCTGCAGCTATCGATTTCACAAAGACGGCAAAACTTTGCATGAAGAAAGAATGATATGTTGTCTAAATGAACATTTATTGACCTTGGGACTTGTTGCACTGACAAGTTCATTTGGATTCCAGTTCAAACTCTACTCACGGATCTGTATTACACAACTACACTCACAACCAGAAATCTCAGGTCAGATACATACTGTATACAAGAACGCAAAAACATTATCAGTGTGGATTACTTACAAATTGTTGTCTGTTACTGATTACAAGTTACACGAGAAAAAAGTCAGTAATGTATTTTAGATTACTGTATTCTGATTACTTTTGGATTACTTTTAGATTACTTATGACCTGTAACTTGTTTATAGATTTGAATGGGATTATACGGCATAGTTGTTCAAGTTTGCGCACTCACTGACTGAATTCTGTATCCGCATTCGCGAATTCTGTCATAATCATAAACAACAAAGTGCAAAATAAATGTAAGCCATTGATTTGCTTCAATGATTATGAGAGTTTTTGCGAAAGTGCATAGCTCGCATTAGACTAAAGTCATGGACCGCTTTAGTGTCATTTGAATCGAGATTACTAGAAGTGCCTGTGTTCATGAGTATTGTTCTTGCCTCACATTATCCCCAACATATGAACATTTTATCTTTTTAAATCACAATAATGCAAAACCATTAGCATTTAAAGGCATTAAAAAAACCATTTGATGAGGAGCAGACTAAACAATCCAAACATGAATCAAGAAAAAAGGCCTGATTTAAACAAAACATTAAGCAAGTGCGGTTTTCTGCTGCGGATTGACTAAGACAGCCAATTAATTACTGTGGTATTCATCATGCTCCTATGATTGGTCATGTGGCAGAAATACCACATGCATCGATTAGCATGAATGCTAGCGCCTCAATAAATCCGATCCCTAGAGTATAACTGATGAGTTAATCACTGAGTTCCAGTGAGCATCTACAAATAAAGTGACCACATCCAACAACGAGCTCCGGATGCCGTGTGCGGAAGCGCTGTAAAAGCAAGCGAAGGGTTTGCATTAACCCTGCTGACATCTGTGAGGGATATACAGTGCATTACTCCTGATGAAGAAGGTCATTTGAGAGAAACCTCCTACACTCAGATGTTTCACATATGGAGTCCATTTAAGCGGCGTCTGTAGATCTGAAGCCTGGCATGGATACACACGAATAACAGCATTAATATGTCACCGCCACGGGAGCTTGAGAGAGAACAATGAGTGGGCAACTTTCACCAGGGGCCTAAATGAAGCCAAGCATATGCCACTGACAACTAGTGACGCCTAAAATTACGGGCTGGATCATTCTGGCACAATCAGAGGATTAAAAGTAGCCATTTTAAAATCTGTGAAAAAAAAAAATAACACACTATTATATAAAAAATCACCTTAACTGTCACAGAAAAGATAAAAGTGACCATTTCAAGCATTATTACCGTTTTTAACAGTATTACTGTTTTTGTATTTTTTATCAAATAAATACAGCCTTGGTAAACACAAAAAACTTACTGGCCCCAGATTTGAATATGAATAGTAATAGTACTAATATATAGTATTTAGTATAATTCATTGAATTATTTCTATAATAATAATATAGTTCCAAAATAAAAGTATAGTTATGCCCTATAACAACCACTAAAACACACTAGTTTCTGAGTAAAGAAAACTCAGTAAAGAAACTTTGAATCTGCTTTCAATCTGATTGTGATTTGTCCTCTTGATGCAGATTGTGTGTTTTCTGTTGTTCATGTGATGCAGGGTAAAGGGTAGTAAAGTTCAAATACTACAGGCACAGTAGCAGATCAAATCTTCACAAACTATCAAAACAGGATGCATCTCACCTTTAACATCAGAAAAAAAAAATCATCATGACAATCTGTCCTGAACTAACAACTCATCCAGCCTACACTTTTCAAAAGAAAAAAAACTGTTCAAAGTCAACATTACAGCGTTGTGGCTTGCATAACCG